CTATGGAATTTCGTGGCGTACTCCTCGAATATTGCAAAACTCTTTCTATATCTCATGATTTTCCTCCAATCAACTTTTTGAATTCTCTCACGTTAACAGAGGAAAAGGGGATTTATCGAGGGGTCGACAATTCCCAGGGTGCTGAGATTTTTGATAGATAAGGGTAAAACAGAAGGATGTTCCAACTTCCGTTAAAGGAAGTGACTTTTTAGCTGTTTCCCACGTTTTCAAATCGATATTTTCACACGAAAATTAAAGAATATTTTCTTTCAAAATTTAATTTTATAATAAGATTACTATAAAGTTAAATTTTGAAAGAAAATATTCTTTAATTTTCGTGTGAAAATATAGTTTTCAAAACGTGGGAAACGGTGTCTATTCAGATCCCAGAATACGCTTGTGAGAAGCATGGCTACCATAACCATTAATCATCGCATATTATTCTCCTGCTGAGGTGGTCCTCCATTAATATACACGTATGAGTGGACTTCTGTCTAAATATATAATTTATCATTTCAGTTTAAATCTTAGTTTTTAATTCTATTCTGGTTAAAATATTTTGTATTTAAAAACGTATATATAATATAAGATAATCCGTATTTCTTTTTTCAAAGACTTTTCATTAGTTTCTGAAGCCATTACAACCTGTCTAACACGGATCACTTTTCAAATATTAATAGTAGACAAGTATTATTAAGTAATGGTTGACAATTACTAATTAATTCAAAAATTAAATTTAAATTCAAAAATATAAAACTTTAAAATATAAATAATACATAGTCTGTTGTAAAAGGAATCACCATTTATTCACTTCAATGTTCCGAAATACAAACTTTGACGACCGACCTTACTCTGTAGACTACTTGGCCGTCAAAATTGAATTTATCTTAAAAACAAAGAGAAATATTTAATTAAAAACACAGGTTTAGTTTCTTCCTGGAAACCGATCGAACTCCAAATCGTTCAAAATTGGAACAAATTTTTACTTTTCTCAGACTGTTGTATAAGCTCTGGTAAATCTGCATTCATCTGCAATTGCTTCTAGTTGATAAGAAGCTCTACCATCCCCAAGTGGTAAGGTTGGAAGGAAAAAAGTCTTCTATGGTATTGCCAGTTCCGTGTTTTAATTCGAACTGAGGAATAGCAATGTACTGTGTAATATAGTTAAAAATATCCATATGTAATGTCAATCCATTCACATGATACAAATAAAGAAATCGTATCAAATTTGACAGTTGTAAACTGTCCACGGGTAACAGAGTTGATGAAACCATGCAACATTGGTAGGCGGTCACGGATTTGCACCTCACTGAACGGCTGGCAACATATGTTATTTGTGTTTTCTTCAATGTCTAACACCCAAATGCGGGTTGTTTTTCTTCTAGAGATATTCATTCCCCTTTGCATAATCACGTTATACAACGTTCACTTTGGCCCAGGTGTTGCGTTACCGTATTTCATCAAGCCAAATCATTTATAAAGAAAATATTCACAGGCTCATCAGGCATCTCTACTGCTTTTTACTACATAAAATGCAATCGTGATTTAGTTTATCTTTTAAGTCAGCCATAAATGTTTCCAATCAATATACCCCTAAATAAATAAGAATCCAAATAAATCCTACACTGTAAGCAATAACGTTCGTAATCATTAAAAAACTAATGAACAGATGGAAATCACAAAACAATTCTTGAAGTATTGTCTTGTTGTATCCAAACAAGTTCCTACTGAATACGTATAATATACTAACTGACGAACATATTGAAATAGCATAGAACACACAGGGCCGCCGTAAGCGGGCGTGCAAGGCGCGCACCGCACGCGGGCGGCACGTCCAGGGGGCGGCAAAGATAGATGCAAGCTCAGCATAGGTAATCGTAGTTAAACAGGGGGCGGCATAATCGGTATTGCACACGGGCGTTCAAACAGCTAGCGGCGCCCCTGAGAACACATAAACAGAAAAAAAAAACAATATCTTGTAAACGTTTAATTTGATTTAAATTCTCTTCGAATATTTGAGTTTTTTATCCATAAACTGAATGGCTTTAAATATATACGAAGCATTTGTGTTGTAAATACACGAGAAGAATGGACCAAACAGAAATAAAATTAATGTATTGAAGCGAAAATGCCTTCTTATTATTTCCCAAACTATATGAATTCCACATACTTTAGAAATAACAAATTGGATAATATACTGCGAAACGACTTCTGGAAACAAGAAGAAAACAAGAAGTATTAATAAAAAGTAACCCTGCAACAACAGGATCAGCACCCACAGAAGATCGTCTCGTTGATGGATGAATATGCCGAAAATGCGTAAAACGTTCAAATATGGATGAATCAGTCGAACAAGAGAGAATTCCATGGTCTGTTCGAAATTTTTGCTATGATGATTAAGTGAAATTGTCTTTAGTTCGCCTGAAAAAAATCTTTAATAAAATCGGGCATAAAATTTTAATTTGTATTTTCTCAGCTTTGTTTCACGATAATTCTCGGTCAACGTGAAGGTAATAATCCATCTATTAGTGGAGAAATGTCAAATACAATCACTGATCAGACAGATGCCGAGAAGTGCTTTAAACGTTTATATTTTTCTATCTTAGACCCTGCGAGGAGAAGATGCAAAGCATATTTTAGGAATAAATGCCGAACTAATCCTCTCAGTGCCGTATTTAAAATTGTCTGCGTTTGCACTCTTTACGTCTCTACCAGAAACAGAGTGGACGAAACTATTTAACTTCGTTAGTAGTCCTGGGTCTACGTATCAGCAAGGCTGGTCACGTGGGGTTTTGGAGCTTTTCACCTTCACATTTGTAATACTTAACAGAAGTCAGTTTTTCATAGTAAGTCTTTTCGGGAGGAATCTTGTCTGCAGATCGCCCAAGTGTTTCGTTGTAGTGCATAAACGGCATTCTGTACGTACGTAAATATCTTAAATGTGCATTTAACTTAAACTTGATTCAAGTATGTCAATATCACTGATAATGTTTATTCTTTATTACATGAATCAATTAGGATAATCATGTTTGTTAGTCATTATCCTAATGAATTCTTATAACCGTAAATGATTATTCTTCATTGATCGAATGGATTTTTTGAATCGTAAGACACAAATATGCATTAATGCCATGGTCAAGTTGCTTAAGAAATCGATAAGTATTTCATTTTATAGTTATTCGATAATAATTTATTAGACAAACTAAGTATGACGAAGTATTTTATTAAAATTATATAAAACTGCTGAATATATTTTGTTTGCTATTAGGATAAATACTATCCGGAATACCGCTAAAGTTTTGGCCCACCGCTGTCCGAATTGTTAGCCACTGAAGACCTGCTGATTGTTAGTCGTGGGTTCGTACCTCACCAACGAGCTGACAGCGTGAAGTTCTTAACGTATCTAACATCTTAATTAATGTGGATCGGTTGCTCGAAGAACATCCTCTGTGAAGAAGTTGCTCTTTGGGATATCGTTTATGCGTAAAGTCGCCTTTCTATATCAATCCTACAATTTATTTCAAGACGAAAGATTACTTGTAAATGTTGATCTATGTGAGATCGACATTTATAATACCTATATATACATATAATTGAAAGTGTGTGTTATGTGTATAATATAAATAATATTAAAAGTATTTCAAGTGTATATATACATAATATTGATCCACACAGATTGATTCGGACACACACAAGTAAAAGAGCTGTCTTTTACGTTATTAATCAATTAAGAAAATATTCAACAAACTTATCATGAATTTCTATTGTTTCTAAACCTACCAAATGCTATCACCTCTGCAATGAACTCAAGAGTATACTAAAATAAAACAAATAACGTTACTAATTTACAGCAAGTGTCAAAATCCTCCCAAAAAATGAAGGACACTATTTTAAAGAACTGCATGCACTGTATGCTTTATATCGTTATCTTATTGATAAATGAAACAGATTCTATCAATGTGGTAATAATCAACAGACTATAACATATAATTGTCAAGTATTTCAGTGTAAACAACGTACTCATTCTATTAGGTATAGGTCATGGCACCTCAAGCCCGATATAGGTGATACAGCCCCAAACTACAAGACTATTACCACCAAATTTCAATGTTTCTCAGTTATAGACTTCAACGATGTAATGTAGACCACATCCATTTTCGATCATCTGAACCAATTCTATTAATTTTGAATTAATCTGCAGCGACCATCACGGACTCGTGAGTTGGCGCCACTCCTCTAGGAGTTCCCGAGAATCCCGGAGTGAAAAACGGGGATTAGAGTTTTTCCCGCAGAGGATTCCGCGTGTTGTTGCTTCTTCTTGTCGGTTGTGATCGCTGCCATGAGCACGTGTAGCTCTCTCAAGTGTACTCGTAAGATTGTTGTGAATAAATATTCTTTTAGTTTAAAACGTGGTCGCGGATTTAACTAATTTACGTTTACCGCCTTTGATAAAGACAGTTTTGTGGAGATCAAAATGGATGGAGAAAGACGGCCATGTTTCGTCGAACCGACGGCGGCGATCCATTACCTCCAAATCTAAACATACAATCCTCTTCCAATTTTCTAAGGTCCAGACTTTATACAGTTCGACAAAATTCAGACGTTCCTGTTTATGTAAATAGGTAAGTTTACGATACTTGGGCGATAAGTTTTAAGCATCTTCGGATAGTTGAAGTACTCGCTTCTATTCCTAAGCCATGTTTCAATTCTCTCTTTACTTGTAATGATGTATCGCGAGATATAATTTACTTCGAATTCTTTAAATGCTTAGGGTTAACTGTCAGTAAACATTGCAATTTAAGTCAGATTTTGTATCATTAAATTCAGCTTATCTGTGCCATTGGCCGAAAGACACACTTTGGTCTGGTCGAAACCATTTATCGTTTTCAGAGTACCGAAGAAAGTAAAAGTTGCTTTTATTATCTGAAATGTTGAATTCGATTAGATTTAACAATTTCTTATTTAAATAAAAGTTACGTATGCAAATAACAAAAAACATTTTACCCTGAAGGCAAATTCCTTAGTAATTATGTAATCCAGAACTTCTACTCCCAGTTGTCTGGATCCCAATCTCTTTAGAAAGCACAAAAGCTGCAAATATAATAATAATGTTGTTGTGTATCAGGTGCGATTAACATTTAATACTACTGTCATATAGAATAACACTTTTTGTTGAATTGTTACTCACCCGCATTTTATCGATGAATGGCAAATTCAGAGAGTCAAAGTACCTAGTCTCTTCCAGACATTTCCTAGACTAATAATAGTAAAATAGAATCTTATAACTAACTTTCTTATATCACATCAAACCTCAAAAACATATAGCAAAATGTTAAATAGTACTTTATAAAGTAAAACTTTAATATTTTAATTTTTTAATACTTAAAGAACTTGGATATTACTCACCGATGTACATATTATCGAAGCAGTTACGCAAAGTATGATCAAACAGACAAATGATACGACTAATGAAAGATAAAACACAAATTTTCCTTCCGTAGATGTGTGCATGAGAATTATAACAGTAGCAGCAACATAGGCAACAACGAATACATAAGAGATAGATGTAAATATGCTTCCAATGCCATTTATTCTTTCCATTTCGAGCGCAATTTTAGAGTATTCTCTTTGTATGTTCTTTACGATACGAATATATCGCGGCTGTCGCGAATGAATGAAATGTATTTCCTCAAACAATGCCTCCAATTTAAAATGTATTATCATAAAGAATGTTGTTCCAATCGGAATAAAGGCTAAAGTAGCTGACAGACATGTTACGCTTATCGAAACCAATCCTGCACATATAACCGCAAGTAACGCCCCACTATCTTCTTTCATAACCGGATAACGTTTTATAATTACGAATATTGGGAATAATGTATTTAATAGTACGCAAAAGCTAGCATAAACCTTCGCAGAATAGCTTTGAAATTGTGATATTTTGTTCGCTGTTTCTGGTCTTAGGTTTTCATCGTGACAATGAACTTGGGCGTTAGTCATTTTCAGATATGTTAGATAAACTGTGATTAAAAAAGTATAACTTTGTATGTTAACCGTAAAAATTTTAAACATGGTCGGATGGTTTGTAGACTTGTATATGAATCCCGAACAATAAGGAAGCGTTTGTGCTTTAGGCAATATAACAATAGCCAAGAAACTTGTGTAAAATATACAAATGTAGATACTTAAGGACAATAATTTCCACGAACGAGTTTTTCTATTATTTCGATTGTTGTTTATGTCTTCGTGGTCGCATGTAATTATTAATAGTCGATCGAATTTGTCAATAAGTTTCAGAAGATATTTCAAAGAGTCTTTGATACAAACGCGATTTCTTCTACTCTGCATATTTATAAACTGCATAATAATCTATTATTGTTTTTAATACAAGTAATTTATCTAAATACGCTAATTTGTGTAAATCTGAGAGTATTCTATATTATGTTATAGTGTAATATACTATGGTTTATATACAGCATACTTCAAACGATTTAATTCTAATGCTGAAACTAAATTTAATTTAATTTAAATACCATTAATTGCATATAGTAAATTATTAAGCTTAAGATATTATATTAAAATAATTGTACATATACTTGCTGTTGTGGTTAGAGTTTATCTAAAACGATTTCCTCTACGAATTATTCGCTTTAGAATATTTCCTCAACCCTCATGCAAGTTACGTTATTGTTCTTACTGAATTTGATTAGGTAAAATGTTTGGAATTTTTATTTTTATAATGATTTTCTTATGTAACGTAGGAAAATCGCATGAAAATTTAAGAAATTTGCATCCATTAGAGCTAATGGATAATTGCACTAATTGATGCGTAATTTATTGCTATCGTTTAATTAGTGTAACACACGAAAGAAGCAAAGTTATATTCTCATATAAATGGAGTTCATAATGTAATTATATAATAAAGTAGAATACACCAATAGAATAATGAAATTATATAAAAGAACGGTGAAAATATATGAGAAATAAAAAATTGAAATAATGATGAAAATAAAATAAAATGAGAATTAAAAAACGTTTCACATTTTTTGCTTTTATTAAACTCTTTTAATTAATTAATTAATTTTCTTTGTATTCTTAAAATACGATCGAAAAAAACGTTGCACCTATCACATTTCATCAACGATTGTTTTAATCAAGTTTGAGTAATCATAAGTCAATAATTTGATTGGTTTGTTCTTATTAGCTGACTTCTCCGTGATTCAACGGGGAAATGACGTTAATTGAAAATAGCGGTAAGTTACAGCGCGGCGTATAATTAAATTCTTGAGTTTGAATTGAGAATTCAGTACTGAAGGTCGTTTCTCGTAAATTATTTAGTAATTAATATTTATGCCTAAACGAAGGTCATTTTCTTTGTTCGTTTTTTAAAATATCATGTAAATTTATTACTTTATTGTTTGTGCTATGAAAGTGATTTCTCTAATAAAGATTGCATTTTTCCATTAGTGAAATAATTTTAAAAAATTGTTAAAATTGCACTGATTTTATCTTCTATTTTATCCTCTTTTTCTAAGTGAGTATTTATAGCACTTACAGCCGATTGCAGAGACAGAGTTTACGTTAAACGACGTTTATCAACAGAACGGCCTATAGACGTTGGCTGGCTGAACCGCGGTTTAAAATGCGTTGCAAAGACGATAATCGTCTATTTCTGAACGCCCTCTAAACGAACTTCGGCAAAACATTGGCTCTTACTTTCTTCGCTATTACTCCCTTGTTTTAGGAGTCGTTCGGCCAATCGGGTTATTTGTTTGTGACGTCAGAAATGGTCGCCAGCTATATTCAGAAAGCTGCCAGAAATAAAATCTTAAGACCGTCAAAACCATCGTTCGGTAATTAATGACAATCCTTTTCAATTTCGATATTTAATTTCGTCGCCAATACGGTTTTAAAATACGAACAAATCCATATTTAGAAAATTACACACAAATGTAAAGTAATGGAGACCGTACACGGGAGGTTTGGGGTTTAGTTCCTCCCATTTTAGAACAATTTAAAAACTTTATATTTATTTTGTATCCGCCCATTCTTCCTTTGTCTACTGTATTGTGTTACTATGTACCTGTATTGTAAAAGTTATACGTTTTTTAATGAAAAAATAATGTTTTAAATCCTAATAATAAAATCCTATGTAAAAACCTGATTAATATCTAAATTCTTTTAGATTCAAATGGTAACCCAGCATTAAAAATTAAAATATGAAATTGATTTAACATAAAAACACACAAAATTTGGATACATACCACTTGTGGAAAATGAGATAAAAATATATGTTTCCACATATCTATAGATCTACAAAATAAAAATTTTTCTTTTGTAACATTTAATTTCAAACAATAAGATAAATGGAAAGTATCTAGGCATTGAAAAATCACTATAATTTCTATTGCTAATGCAATAGAAAATTATTTGACATGTACTTTATTAAATGGAAATACAGATGCATACTTTAAAATTCAATGTAAGCACTGGTGCTATCCACTGACAACACATTTTCCTCAGATTATGACATGGATGGAAGGCCACTTCTCTGTGCATCCACAACCAAACTTGTAAACATTTTAGCTTAGAATGACAATTCTTGATTGTTTCTGGACAGATTATGGCATGACATCCTTTCACTGTTCACCACCATTTCTGCACAGTAGCCACTGATTTCCACACCTCATAGTTTGCAGCAATCTGTGATTGCTCCTGAATAGAAAAACAGTCAGCCATCTTTTTTGTCACTGTACATGCAGCCTCTCTAGATCCCTGCCTACATCACTGATGTGGGAAATATAAAATTTCATTGATTGATATACAAATACACACATATTTTATGTGATTACATTATTATTTAACAATTATAGTGATTTCTCAATGCTTACTTTACATCCACTTTGTATAAAAATGTTAAAAATAAAGTATCAAATATATATATAGTATAGAAATGTCAAAAAATTTAAAAATTTTCAATGCATTGATATATGCTAATAATTTTTTAAATACGTGCAAAAAAAATTATCCATAATATAAGAATTAAAATATGTTTCTTACTGAATGTGACAAATAATAGTTTTATTTTTATTTTTACTTACTTGTTTTAAATAACTAGATATTATGCTATTAAAATTCATATACACACATATATATACAGTAGAACCTCGATTATCCGGACCTCTATTATCCGGATTGTTCAAAATAAACAAAAATTTTACGAATTTGCTGATTTGCACTTGGCAAATTACGACACTGTTTATGTACATGATGGAATGCATAACTTTTTTTGTTTCAACAACGTCTCACCCAGCACAGTGGTCGTAAACTCTTAAATATATTTTGCGTCGTAATAAAAATATAACTTGACATACGTATTTATAAATAATTTATACTCAAATTACATCATTTCTATAACCAAGGGCGGCGTAAGGCACGGGCAACGTGAGCCACCGCCTATGCCTCGTGCCTCGAAGGTTTATGCATTACTTAAAAGCTGCAAACGCGACGAAAAATTTTACTCGTCATAAAACGATAAATAGTTTGTCAAATTTTTATTCATAAACATGCAGTTTTAAACTGCTTTTTATTTTATAAAATCCATCTTCTTGAGCTGCCAGAGGGCCTTTTAAACAATAGCTAGTCTGTTAGCACTGGTCAGTAGTAGTCCAAATTGAATAAAACATTTGTTTCTTGAAAATTTGATCATGATTTAAATACAGTATTTATTTTTAATATTACCGATATGTCATCGAAAAGAAAACGTGTTGTATTATCATTAAAAGACAAATTAAAGTATTTGTTTCGATTATCCGGATTTTTCCTTATCCGGACTACCTTCATCCCCAATTAGTCCGGATAATCGAGGTTCTACTGTAT